ATGGTATTTTTCTACGACTTGGTAACACACCAAGAATTTAAATTGGTGCGCCTTCTTCACTGAGTGAATCAAAAAAAGCTTGTAGATTCTTCTTCACTGAGTGAATCAAAAAAAGCTTGTAGATTCTGGTAATCTTTACTTTATTACGTAAGCAAATCGTTTTAGGAATGAACGTCAGTATCTTCGTCATTTGACGTGAGCGCATACTTAACTGCCTTGACAAATGGCTTTGTTTTCTAATGTGGTTTCGAGATGTGTTGCATTTGGTGCGATATTACCCCATGATTGATTTTACTCATTTAAATCTACTGATCACATCAACCACTCGGTATGTTCATGCCAAGCTTAATTCAAAACTGGTGAAATTAGTGCAATAGAGAAGCAAGGATCGAATGCTCAATATGTCGCGCAAAGAACGCAACGCTGCAATGGCTTACAAAATTAGAGCGAAGACGTTGCTAACACAAAAGGTGCCCCAGGAAAGACTTTAGGGTAGACTGTCTAAACTTGTACTTATTTGGCCTGTCCGCTCTCTCCTTGGAAGCGGAGAGTGCGCCAGACAACCAACCCAATGGTATCAAATATCATATCACACGTAGTTCCTCGGAGCTAAATATGCTCCTCGATTAACCGTCCTATGTAAAATGATGCTTTGACCGACCGCAATACCAACAGAGACTCGTACGATAACCAAATTTCAATTAGGACCTTAGAGAATATACAATAATTACTACATGTACTGAACGATCTTGAGCCTTTTCCCCGTGTTTTGAAAATTCAGTGCATATAATAGTGACTTTCTTAGGGAAAATAGTTGAGCGTCGGTGAAGTAAGTACTTTCAATCAAATTTAAAGGGAACCACCTAAATGTTTTAGGTGGTCAATTCTCGTCAATCACAATATACTTTTTCTATTTCAATCATCATGTCCGAAAAACGCTGCGCATTCCAGCAAAATATATAATATCGACTTCAATAAGGTGCATTGATGCCCAGGTGCATTGATGACCAAGTTTATACTTACGATAGTGCTTTACAGATCAATGCATGCGCACCATGGTAAGCATCTGCCACAAAATTATGCTGTGTGCGGAACTTCTGACTCTATCGCGCAACTTATGAGCTACTAACTTTAAAGTACTGATCGAATGTAAGAGCCGGCATCGTTATGACGATTAAAATACATTATACATGCGCTAGATACTTATTTCAATAGGATTGAGTTTAAGTTCATAGCATTGTTGATTTGATGGTAAAAACCGAAATTAAAATTTATTACGTTTCTATGTCTTGCTCGTCCTAACATTGTCATATTTATACCAAATTACTTTACCGTAATGATATACAATCTGTCCATTAAACCATGAGAGACGTAAATATCGGCCAGAAACCCTACGGTGATTCCTGGAAAACCGTGGAATTCATCTTGTTACTCTGGGGGAATTTAAATCCTCAATCACGAATGTGGAGCCACCAGGTATTAACCACCAGGCTAATCTGATTTCGTTTTCGAACGAACAAAATTCAATATTTATGCATCACAAAATAAACATATAGCCGCTTTAACAGTATTGAGCGGCGTAATCTCAACATATATATATGAAGTGTGAGATCGAAATTACGATCACTCGGAAAGTATGCGTTGACTGTGGCTTTGTGCATAACATACTCTAAAGATTGTGGAAACATGGTCAGTCTCATTATTGAGAAAATAGGAAAACGGGTTACATATTTGAAGGCGTAGTATTCTACACTTTTCGGGCATCAAAATCTCACCACTAAGAGATCCAAACGCCTCTTTCTGAATGTCAGTAAGGAAACGGGAGGTGTCTCGTTTATGGTGTACTTCGAGGTCGACAAAGAGGTCGAAGTCATTCCAGCTAAACGCAGTATCAATTTTGATCGTCAATTTCCCAGTTGTCTTCCATCAAGCTATTCATTGATGAGTTGAGCCTGCTTTTTGTGACATTTACGTGCAATCAGTGTCTAACTTGTTAAAATGACCGAGCTGTTACTATCTCGGTGTAGCCACTGACGTCGAAGAGAGAAATGATTGGATAAGTGTAAAAAAGCCTTTTTCAAATGCCGGCGCGTCTGTCCAAAGCAATGTACCAGAAGATGTACATGCTGACTACGACAGCCCAATTTTCGGGAATCATATATTGCCCGCAGGGTAGAGAAGTCAAAAGCTCCGGTAACTTGCACGAGAAGCACGAATCCGGTCACGAAAACGGGCCAGATGCAGACCAGATGGATGATCTTGTTGTGGTGGTCTGATAGGTAGAACATCACCTGTTTTACCAGGTCAAAGCGATCCAAGAAGAAGTTCAAGTGAGTGGGAGCAAGATGAACACAAAGTGGCCGTCTAAGTTTTTGACAACCTTTGCTTGTTCTTTGTTCTGTACTTGCCAACTTTTTAGTCATCGAAGAAGCCACCTTTATCAAAGCGCGCGTTGTATTCGATTATCGATATAAATAATATCGATATCATGTACACCACGTATTTAATTTCACTAACATCGTGACTTCTAAAACAAAAACCTTATAGATGCATATACCTTAGCATAAGTATTTTAAAAGAATTAAATCCGAGTCTGCTACATTTTACCGTAGGCATTTTATCAATTCTATGCACTCCTATGGTTTTCATACACTTAACACAATTGATACATTTCCCCATGCTTAAAATAAAACTCAGAACAATCCCCGTATTGAAATTTGGTGCAATCTGTGTGAGGGTGATATTTTTTCTTAAGGAACGTCCGTGGTACACGTTGAGCTGTCGGCCTCACGTCAAATAAGATTGATAGTTTTATGTAATTGGCTTTACTTAACTATTACATGAAGGTAAAGCTATACACCTTTTCTATGCGTTGTGAAAATTGATAAAATAGGGAATTAATGTATGGTGTTCCCACATGCATGTGTAAGAAGTCGCAAACGTTTTGTGTGGTACAGAATGCTGGTTCCTACTTCGGAAAGTTGTATTGATGACGAGACCTACGCGTCTCTGTCCTTAAAGTGGGTGGTCACTTCTACTAGATACTTTCCATGAAAATTGAATGTCAAGCCTTTCAAACTTCAAGCTCCTTACACTCAAGATCTTGTATAAATTCAAGCCCCAGTGCACACTTGATTGTATAAATAAGGTTCATTAAAGTCCAGGTTTATACTAGCCAAGCCTTTTGGAGATATTGGGTACGTTGCATGTAGCCGTAGGAATCATTAACTCATCTGCAAATTTGCCTCCTAGGCCTTGAGTCGTTCTTCTTCCCTCCAAGTCGGGACTGTCCTTCTCCCTTTGCGATGGAGATCGCGTCCCCGTCGAACAAGCGTGTGTGTTGTGTTTGGGGGAATGTTGTGTACAGTGCCCTTTTACTGTTTAGTTCTGGATATGATACATTTCGCAGCGGGGCTGCCGTAGCTTGGAAGCGCACTTTAGGTCACCGACCTTTCGTTCTTTACAGGAACCAAGTATGAGTTAGCGGATCGCAATCCGCTGCCTCCAAGAAAACTTAAAACGTTAACCAAGGCAAACGAACACTTCTGTTCAAAATCGAAAATGAATTTTATTTATCTATTTATTGTAATTTTTAAAGTTTAGATTTTCCTGAATATACTAAATATATATAGTAAAATTTAAATACATGCATAACTATTGGCTACCTAGCCCCGTACCGTATTCTTGTTTGGGTGTGGTCACACCATGCACATCTCGTGTGACACACACACCCGTTACCAGGGTACGTGTAACCCCG